CCTCTCTTGAGCCTTGAAAATCTGGATTCAAAGTCATGTTTGGTTGTGAAAATTTTACTTCTGAATTTCTTTGGGCTGTGGAGTACCATTTAATTCAGTTCCACTGGCAGTAGAACTGTGAAATATAGATTGCTGAGTTAGGTTTTTTTTTTTTTTGTGAAGTACAATGTATATGAATGAGAATTTCTCCCTCCAATTGTGTGAAAGGTAGTTAATGGTAGTGTTAATGTGGCACCTTGAGGGCAGCTGGCTTTTCAGTCAAGGTTCAAAGCATGGTGGGAATAGGGGAAAAATATGTCATCTCCCAGGCTTAATTTCTTGACTTGTGAATTAAGGTTGTTTTTCACAGTTGTGCCTATCTTTGCTCTTGACCCAAGGTGAGCAGCTCCAGTGCCAGCATGATCTGCAGTGGAGTACTCTAGCATGGTGCACTGTGGAATTTTCTGAACAGAGGAAACCACAGGGAAGTGGAGAGAACTGCAAGGAGCCCACAGCTCATGAGGCAGCTGCTGATGAGACCTGGATGGGGCCAGGACCAATGTTGGTCAAGCTCCACCCTATGTATAAAAGAAGCCCCTAGGGAGTGCTAGCGACCAGGATGGGGCAAACCCTGTGTGGCGTGGCATAGAAGGTCACATAGGAAGAGCGCTCTAACTTATCTGGCTTGACCAGGGAGCAATGGTATCCACCTGGCAGAAGGCCATATTCACTTTAAACTCGGCGCCCATCATGACTGATGTAGCTTCCCAGGCAGAGATCCGATGGGAATATGCAGGCACTCAGATGTCAGGCTGCAGAGTGCGCCCTACTCTTATGCCAGTATTGGACGTCAGTAGTGAGCACACCCGTGGAAGGTGTGCCAAGGGAGAGGAGCTCCTCTGCTTAGTGACAGAGCGCCGGGAGGAAGTGAGTAGGTTGAGGAGAATCAATGAGTCTGAGAGAGAGATTACTGGAACCGCACCCTACCTTCTCTGGGACAGACCTGTCAGGTAGACAAGACGCATGATACGAAGGATTTCTTATCCTCCGTCCACTATGCAAAATGCAGTGACTTGAGGGATAGAGGGGAATGGTGACAGGATCAATAGCCCAATTGAAGGATATCTACACCAATGCATACAGCATGGGCAACAGCAGTGGAGAAGAGGAGGCTGAGGGGAGACCTTATCGCTCTCTACATCTACCTAAAAGAAGGTTGTAATGAGATGGGTGTTGGTCTCTTCTCCCAAGTAACAAGCGATAAGACAAGAGAAAACAGTCTCAAGTTGTGTGAGCGAGGTTTAGACTGGATATTAGGGAAAATTTCTTCCCGGAAAAGGTGTTCAAGCATTGGGACAGGCTGCCTAGGGAAATGGTTGAGTGACCATCTCTGGAGGTACTTTAAAGACACGTAGATGTGGTGCTTAGAGACATGGTTTAGTGGTGGACTTGAGAGTGCTAGGTTAATGGTTGGACTCGATCGTCTTAAGAGTCTTTCCAACCTAAATGGTTCTATGACTCTTGGCTGGTACGGTAGGATTCTCCTTTCTTTTTCTATCAATACACACTTCCCAATAAGCACTTAAGAGTGTCATCCGCCTTTTTTCTATAGTGTCTTTCAGTATTGCAAAAGAGATGACTTAGCCCTATACACCTGCGCTGTTGCAGCCTTAGAGCATACAACTTCTTGCTACCTGGTTCTTGAAAACTAGCTAACAAAAAACCGTCCTGTGTGAGGGTAGATCTAAATTTATTGCTTACCTAAAATTCCAGCTATAATCCATCTCAAAATCCTTGAGATAATAACAAACTATGCATTTATCAGCTGAGCTAGGAAAAAAGGTTCCTCCATTTAAACCTGTACTGCCTTTTATTAATCTCCTTTACACAAATTTTGTCTATTTATTATGACTGAATGTGTGATTTATTGTTGGACTTCGTAATACTTAATAGTATATTCTGCATTTGCTTTTCCATATATATATACACTATTTCTTTTCAGGCATAATCACTTCAAATCCATTTCCTGAAAGCATATTAAGAATACTTATATTTCAGAACCAATATTTCAAGGAGGACTTAGTGCTTTTTTCTTATCTAAATGCATTGAATTGACTTAGGAAATAAAATATCTACTACTGAATTGTAGATGGAGAGTTTTAAATATCCCACTCATTATTATCACTACTGCTTTCTTAAATAAATTTTACAAAAATATTGAACTTGAAGGTAAACAAAGAAATAATGCTTCATATTTTAGAAATGAACAGAGAACATCTTTAAACTATGCTGTAAAGAAAATCCTTGAAAGTGTGAGCTACTTATTAATAATTATTTGTAAACATTAATACATAATACTGTTTTATAAGGTTTTTCCTTATCCAAGATATTCACTGCATATATTGTTGAAGTTGCTATTTTCTTATTTTTTTTAACTATAAAAGAAAGGATAAATTTAGGAAAACAGTTGGAGACACTTCCAAGAAGCGTTAGATTCTTGTAAATTTAATAGAAACACTTCTCTTTTTCAAGAACACCTTTGTAGCGATGTCTTCTTGCCTGGCTTTTGCCATCCAGGAAAGACTGTGTCACGTGCATGGCGACTATCATATTTTTCAGGTCTCCTTAAGATGCAGCATGTTTTGTGCTGCCAGACTGTGAGAGTAGGAGCTTGATAGTGAAATGTGGTCAAGAGTGTCTTCTTTGGTAGTTTAGTCTGATTTTTAATCTACTATTTTGGAGAGGCATCTGTAGATCCTGTAGAGTGTTTATTCATCTAGTATAGCAATTTTCATCTTGCAAGGATGCCTTTTTAAGGAAATGCAATAAACACCAATAAGACGGAAAGCAGGTAAAGCACTAGCAAAAGTTTTGCTAGTTTGCAATGTCTGTAAAATAGTAGTTGAATTTTATGTTCTTAGTTTTATTTTATAATAGTCAGCATTCTAA